AGCACTGAGAAGGGAGAAATAAGTAGATCCTTGAGGCTTGCTGGTCATCCAGCCTCACCTACTTGGTGAGTTCCAGGACAGTTAAGAACTCTATCTCAAAAAAGAATGCAAACATCATCTGAAGAAATGAACCTAACGCTGTCCTCTGGCCTTCACCCAAATAGGCACAGAAGCATCTATGCATGAGTACGCACACACAAAATATAGAGTAAGTGAAGGGTTTTAGTTTTTTGGGGTTTTTGCTTTGTTTTATTTTGTTTTTAATGAGACAGGGTTTCTCAGTGTACCCCTGGCTGTCCTGGAACTCACTCTATAGACCAGGCTGGCCTTGAACTCAGAGAACTGCCTACTTTTGCCTCCTGAGGGCCAAGATTAAAGATGTGCCACCAAGGCCAGGCCTTAAATGAAGTTTTTTTTTTATATTTATTTATTTATTATGTATACAATATTCTGTCTGTATGCCTGAAGGCCAGAAGAGGGCGCCAGACCTCCTTACAGATGGTTGTGAGCCACCATGTGGTTGCTGGGAATTGAACTCAGGACCTTTGGAAGAGCAGGCAATGCTCTTAACCACTGAGCCATCTCTCCAGCCCCCATGAAGTTTTAAAATAACTCAAACATACCTATGATGAGAAAAATCAAAACACAGTTTAACCTAGGTTAGAATAATATAGCAGCTTAAATCAACACAGCGTTAAAGAAACAAACTAGAGTTGGGCACAGTTACACACACTTGTAATTCCAGCCCTCAGAAGGCTAAAGCAAGAAGACTGAGTTCAAGGACAGGCTGTGTTAAATAGTGGAACCCTGTCCTCAAAAATAAGGGGGCTGGGGATCTGGTAGTAATCATCACCTCTATTCAGAAAAATGTTTGTTGATGTAACAACTAGCAGTTTACCAGTTTCCAATAAATTTAGCTCCAAACCCACCCCCCACTGCCTACTTGACAAAAAACAGAGATGAAATCTTTATTTTCCCTTGCTAGCTTTTATTAAGCTTTGTCAGCAGACATTAAAAAATACTAATGCAAAAAGAAAAAGCTCTTCATCCCAGTTCCATTATGCAACTCTCACCAGGCCCCACCACTTAGCCAGCTTTCCTAGAGCCCAACCACAGCTGTTCTGACTCCCACGATGCATCACAGAGGCCAGCAGCTTCCTCTAACACCTCACCCAAGAACTTCACAGTATAGTGCTTTTGGTGATACATTTCCTTGTAAATGGAATCTACCCACTAAGTTCTAGGATGTCGATTTCTAACATGTTCTGCCAACACAACCCCACAATGATTTTCTCTGCCATCTAGTTAGACAAAGCTGTGTCCCATCTAACAAGACTTCAGCCTAGGAATGTGGTCTTCCATAAGCATATTTATGAGCCCTATGAACCACAGACACCTACCCATTCCCAAATGTAGTTTCTCAATTCTTTTCTTGAGTTCTCTCTACTGCTCACTAGTCCCTCATTACTCCAATTTCTTATACTTATTTATTTATATATATTCACAGTTGGCTGGATTTAGCTCAGCATAGAACACTGGTCTAGAATGGGCAAGACCTTTAACTGAGGTCAATTCCCACACCAAAATAAAAAAGAAATTAAGACAAATAAAAATCTAAAATTAGCCAAGTACAGTGACAGATACCTTTAATCCCAGCACTCTCAAGAGGCAGAGGCAGGTGGATCTCTGAGTTCAAAGCTAGTCGGATCTATGTAGAAAATTCCAGGACAGGTAGGGTTACCAAAACAAAACAAAGACCCTGTCTTAAAAGAAAAAGGAAAAAACTTTTCATTTTAATGCTCACCAAGGTCAGGATTTTCTTGGGAGACACTCATGAAATATCTAATACAATCATATATCTTATTTCCAGATAGATTAGAAACTTCCTGGTACTCATGTCTATTTTCTGTGCTAATGAAAACAAGCTCCTTTTAACTTTACTTGCACTTTTGGTATTTAAAATACCAAAAATCATCAAAACCTAGCATAGTAGAGTAGGCCTGTAATCCCAGCTGAGTCAGGAAAACCACAAATTCAAGACCTACCCGGCTACACAACCTAGACAGCTAGTGAGACCCTGTCAGAACTGGAGATACAGCTCAGTGTACAAAGCCTACAGAGCATACTGAAAGCCTAGGTTCGATCTCCAGGAAAGTTCCAAATAACTGAAGGAAGCTTGACCCTGTCTTTTACCAGACAAGCTCTATGAGGTAGGGAAAGCAGGTATCTCCAACAGGTACCAGAGGGAAATGACTTGCCAAGTAAGGGTCCACAGCTAAGAAATACTTTAAACATTATTTTCCTTGTCTGGTTGCTGAAAAAAAGTGTTAAGAACAGGTTCTAGCCAGGCAGTGGTGGCGCACACCTTTAGTCCCAGCACTGGAGGCAGTGGCAGGCGGATCTCTGAGTTCAAGGCTGGTCTGTTCCAGAGCAACCAGGGCTATAAACAGAAACCCTGTCTCAAAAAAACAAACAAAAACAAAAAAGGGGGGGAAGGGGGGCTGGAGAGATGTTACAGATGTTAAGAACACTGGCTGCTCTTAGAGGACCTGGGCTCAATTCTCAGCACACACAATGGCAACTCACAACTGCCTGTAACTCCAGTTCCAGGGGATTTGACACCCTCACACAGACATACATGTAGGCAAAACACCAAAGCACATAAAAATAAAATATTAAGGAAGGAAGGAAGGAAGGAAGGAAGGAAGGAAGGAAGGATCTAGCGTGGAGAAGTGGGGTCATTTACAGGCAGCACACACTACAGGTCACTTGCTCGGTTTACTACTCCTGCAAAACGATGTGGGAACCCCAAAACTGGAGACAACACATCTTTTCGGGCTTTTTCACACTACAGGGAACCAGGCCACAGGAGTGAGGGAAGGAGCATGATGCATTTAACCCAGCGTATCCCCTCTCTGTGCAGGTACAGCCGTCCTCTAAACACTGAAGGCAAGTCAGGGAGTGGCACATGCCTGTGATTTTAGCACTTCCAAGTAGAGACCAAAGATCAAAAGTTCAAAATGCCCCTCAGCTCCCCAGTGAGTTCAAGGACAACCTGAGCATGTTGAGACCTTATCTTTAAATAACAACAAAAAAAGTAAAAATAGGAACTGAGGGCAACAATTACAAATTCTTCACTCTAAAAAATGTCTACAATTCACTATTTCATCTAAAGAAAGAATGGTACCCCAGAAACCCTCACATTATGGCTTGTGTTTGGCAAGGATGGTAATATAATCTTCTGGGACTTTTTTAGTATATACTCATTACACAAAATGATGGGTTTCATTATATTTTCATACATGCACATCATGAGCTCTGTTCATATTCAACCTGAATTAGCCTCTCTTGTGCCTTTACCCATTCTAATTATCCCTTTCCTGTGTCTAAATAATCTACCTACTATTGTCATGTTTTAATTTAAATACCTGTTAAAAATAAAAATTCTGGCCAGGCAGTGGTGGCAGGTGGGCAGAGGCAGGCAGATCTCCAGTTTGAAGCCAGCCTGGTCTATAGAGATAGTCCCAGGGCAGCCAGTGCTATGCATATAAACCCTGTCTTGAAAAACAAAAAACAAAAAGCAAAAAATAAAATTAATTAATTAAAAAATAAAATAAAAAACACAAAACTCTGCTATGAAGAAGCACACAGTATTTGTCTTTCTGAATTCAGTTAATTTCCCTTACCATGATGCTCTCTGATTCCATCCATCTGCCATGCAATTGATACAACTCCTCCTCCTCCTCATCTTTCAAGAAAGTGTTTCTCTATATAATTTCCTTCTTCATGACTGAATAAAACTCTATTGTGCACATATACCGCCTTCTTATTGGTCCAACTGTTGATGGACCGTCAGGTTGATTCAACACATCTTGGTTATTGTACATGGTACCACAATAGACAAATGCACAGCTATCTGTCAGACACAAGACTCTTGGGTGCTGCAGGAGTACTATACCTGGGTCATATGGTAGTTCTATCTTCATTCTTTTCAGAAACTGGGGGGAGGGACTAAAACTCTCAAAAAACTTCTAGTAACATCCATACTCAAGTAAAACCTTCCTAACAAAATCAGCTGAAAAGGTCTCCATAGGCAATAAGACACTGATAATATCTAAACCTAGGATCAGGCTGTAGTTCAACTGGTAAACTATTTGCTATCATTTACAAGGGCCTAAGTTTGTCCCCCAGCATAGCATAAAATTGAGCATGGTGGTATAAAATTATACATCCAGCACTCAAGAGGTAAAGGCAAGAGGCTCAGAAGGTCAAAGTTATCCTTGACTACATAGAGTCTAAGCTACAAGACATCCTATCTCAGAAAACAAAACAAAGGGCTATTGGCTTGGCTCACTGGTTAAGAACACTTGTTCTTGCAGAGGCCTCAGGTTTGGTTCTCATCATCCACATGATAGCTCACAATCATTCATGACCAGAAAAAAAAAATTAGTCTGCTCTACTAAAAAGTTATGCCTCTTTGGCGGGCACTTTAATCCTAGATTAAAGGGAAAATCTTTAATCCTAGCACTTGGGAGGCAAAAAACAGGCAATCTCTGTGAGTTCATGGTTAGGCCAGCCTGATCTACATAGTGAGTTCCAGGACAGTCAGAGCTATATAGTGAGACCCTGTCTCAAAAAAACCAAAAGCTATACCTCTAATTATAATGTTATACTTAAAAATATTAAGTTAAAAAAAAAGGTTAAAAACCAGATGGTGGTAGCACAGACATTATAGGATAATTAATGCATTAACAAAGTGCCTTTAACTGCAGCACTCAAAAGGCAGAGGCAGGCAGATCTTGGTGAATTTGAGGCCAGCCTGGTCCACAAAACAAGTTCCAGGACAGCCAGAGCTGAAACAGAGAAACCCTATTCAACAAACAAACAAAGTTAAAAATCCACTTTAACGACAGAGAAATTGATGCACATCAGTAAGTAAATGAAGTCTACCTAAAATGGACACAGGAACTGAGATATAGCTCATGTGATAGAGTACTTACCTAAAACACATGAAACCCTAGTTCCATTCCCAACACTGTAACTGAGCACAATAGTACAAATCTGTAATAGCACTTAGGGTGGAAGTTCAAGGTCATGCTCAGCTACAGAGCAAGTTGAAAACCAGCCCAGACTATATGATAACCTGTTTAAAAAAAATAAAAACTAATGAGGACGCACACACACATATATATGTACATATACATATACACATATATACACATATGTAAACATATATCTGTTTCCAACTATCCAACTATACATTGTGAAAAGGCAAAACTATAAAGACAGTTAAAACAAAACAAAACAAAACCGGCCAAATAGTTGCCGAGGGTAGGGGAAAGCTGAACAAGTTTTCAGAGGATTTCTTAGGGCTGTGAAACCATCCTGTATAATACTGGAACAAGTTAAAAGCCATACAGGCTACAGAGCAAAGATGTTGTTTCAAAAACCAAACCAGACAGGCATTGTGATGTATACCTGTAACCAGAATACAAGAGTCTGAGGTAGGAGGACCGCCATGAGTTGAAGGCTAGTCTGAGCAACATAGTGAGTTTCAGGCCAGCTGGGCTACAGAGTGAGGAGGCCCTGTCTCAAAAAACAGCAAAATATTCTGCTTATACACGAAAATACTAAAAGTGAAATCACAGTTTATTTTTCTCATTTACTAGTAAGTATATATTTAAATATTTTTTCTTTAACAATTTTTAAATGACATTTTTGATCTGCATATTGTGTGTGCGCACACATGCTCCAGTACAGCTGTGGAGGCTAGAGGATAACTTGCAAGGGTCAGATTTTCCTTTCACCAATTGGTCCTGGGATAAAACTTGAGTCATGAGCTTGGTGGCAAAACCCTTTACCCAATTAGCAGTCTCAGCCTCAGCCACTCCATGTTTTAAATAACAGCTTTATTGAGATGACTCACATTGCACAATTCACCATTATAGTGTACAACTCATGGTTTGAGACAACATGCAACTATCACCACAACTTTAAAACATTTAATTATATCAAAAAGAAATACTCTACCCTTTTGTTATTACTTCCCTACGCTTACCACCACCTGGAGGCCCTAAGCAACCACAGATCTACTTGCTGTCTTTACAAAATGATTTGTTCTGGATATTGCCTAGAAATAGAATCACACAAATACGAACTTTTATACATGGATTTTTAAACTCTACACATTTCTGACGCTCGAATATAATACATACCAATATCTTTTTACTTGATTTTATAAGATACAAAGTCCCTCTGTTATATAGCTCTGGCTGTCCTGGAACTCACTCTGTAGACCAGGCTGGCCTCAAACTCTCAGAAATCCATCTACCTCTGCCTGTCTCCTGTGTGCTTAAATTAAAAGTGTGCACCACCACAGCCAGCCCCCTTTCCTTTTTGAGTAACATCCACTTCATGAACACATTTTACTTATCTACGCATCATATGTTTCGGGTTGTTTCCCTCTTTTGCTATTAAGAGTTGTTTTAACCATGTGTATGTAGAAGGTGGGTGGGTGCCTGCGAAGCCCCAGATGTCAAAGCTAGAGTTACAGATTACTGCAAACTGCCTGACTTGGGTGCTAGGAACCCAACTTAGGTCCTCTGTAAGAACAGCAAGAGCTCTCAACTGCAGAGCCATCTCTTCATCCCTCTTTTGTTATTAATGCTGATGCTATAAATATTTGCAATCAGTTAAAGAATGGTCTAAAGCTAAACACAGTGGCAAATGCCTCTTGTCCCAGAATTCAGCAGAATTATGAATTCAGAGCCAGCTGAGCTACACAGAGAGGGAGGGAAGGAGAGGGGAGGGCAGAGGAAGAAGGAGAGAAAAGGGAGGGAGGATTGTCATACAATTTTCCAAAGTTGCTGCACTCTGTTCCATTCCCATTAGTGGGGTATGTAAGGTCTCCAATTTTTCCACATCTCTACCAGTACTATCATTATGAGTTTTTGGCTTTAGAATATTGCTTAATGGCTGTTCTCACTCAATCATAATACATCCAGATATTTATCAACTGCAAGGTGCTCTTACATGACTGACAAATTTTAGACCTGAAGAGTGTAGTCTGGTCAGGCATGATGGTGCACACCTCTAATTGTAGGGAGGCAGAGGCAGGAGGATCAGGAAGTTCAAAGAGGCAGGAGAGCCTGGGGTAAGGAGCGACAGTGGGCAGTGAGATGGTCAAGCAGACAGACACTTGATAACTTGAGTTCAACCACTAGAACTGACTCCTGCAAAGTTGTCTTCTGACCTCCAAGTGCACACCACAGCACAGGCACTCCCCCCTCCCTGCAATACATAAAACAAATAAAATGGAAAAGTCTCCTTCAGAGACAAGCAGTCCAGTCCTAGCCCCAATCTCCTAGCCTATTTTCCCCCTCTTTCATATAATGAACAGGAATAACTCTACAAATAAAACTTTTATAAAGGGGTCAGAAATTCAGAAGCCTATCCTCTCTTCTCTTCTCTCTCTCCCCCGTGTGGTCATGTGGTGGTTTACCAGTCCTCTATGGTAGCAGCAAATATAAGAACCTTAATCTAGGGGTTAGAGACATGGATCAGCAATTAAGAGTGCTTTCTGTTCTATAGAAAACATGAGTTCAGGGCCCAGCAACCACATCAGCTGGCTCACAAATGACTAAACTCCAGCTCCATAGGATTCAATGCCCTTCACTTCTGACCTCCATGGCCATCTACATACATACATACATACACACAAATTAAGTCTTTTAAAAAAAAAGAGCCAGGTGGTGGTGGTGCACACCTTTAAACCCAGCACTCAGGAGGCAGGGGCAGGCAAATCTCTGTGAGTTCAAGGCTAGCCTGGTCTACAGAGTGAGCTCCAGGATAGGCTCCATATCTACAGAGAAACCCTGTCTCGAAAAACCAAACCAAACAAAAAACCAAATGTGTACATACTGTCAGTATGGTGGTACACTCCTTTAATCCCAGCACCTGGGAGCCAGAAGGCAGAAAGAACTCTTATGAGTTGGAGCCCAACCTGGTCTACATAGTAGTTCCAGGTCAGCCAGGGCTACACATTGATAACCTGTCTAAAAGAAGAAAATAAAAGAGGGGTTGAGATGTCTATGTGCTGAATATAGTGGCTCATTCCTCTAAGGCTCACCTTGGGGGCCTAAAGCAGGAGGATGACTGAGAGTGAAGTTAGCACAGCAGCTGGGGCGGTGGTGGCGCACACCTTTAATCCCAGCACTCGGGAGGCAGAGGCAGGCGGATCTCTGTGAGTTCGAGACCAGCCTGGTCTACAAGAGCTAGTTCCAGGACAGGCTCCAAAACCACAGAGAAACCGTGTCTAAAAAAAAAAAAAAAAAAAGTTAGCACAGCAGCATGGGCTACATGGGGATTTTCAGGCCATTCTGTACTGAAGTTAAGATTTGTCTCAAAATAAAATAGAAATAAACCTACAATAGCAGTATAATGCCACACACATACAAAATACCTAACTGTGTTCTTGCTCCAAGTCAGAGAGAGAGAGACAGACAGAGAAACAGAGAGACAGAGAGAGAAAGAGAGAGCACCATGAACGCCTTCCCCCAGCTCTGCCTGTCACTGTTACTAGTGTCAAGCAAAAGCTGGGAAGAGGAAGTCCTAAGCCAAGAAGAGGTCTAGGACTATCCACACCAGGATGCTCACCTAACACACTTTCTAAGAGCCAACACTGGCATTAGCCAGGAAGGGAGTGGACCACACAGGCCCTCCTGAAACAGGCCACTTCCCCCACCCTCTCCAGACCTTAGTTCTGAAGCACTGAGGCTGGAGCACTGGAGTCACTATGTGCAAGCACTTCAGGTATGGCAAGAGGTGGCGATCCATGACCAAGTTCCCATCTCTACTGTCCACTCCCTTTCATTTCCCTGTGTAATTATATTCCATTTCCAACTCAGACAAATTTAGTACACCTTTATAAACATTTGGTTCTTCTCATCCAAATTCAAGTGCAAAAAGACAAAGAAAAGGTGTCCCTGCCAGAAAAGTTATTGTCCCAGTAAAAGAAACATTTGTGTGTGTGTGTGTGGTAATGGGGGGGGGGGTGTAACTGAAACTAGGGGCCTTTTTTTTGACTGTGTATGGGTGTTTTGTCTGAATGTCTGTGCATCACATGTACGTAGTGACCTCAGAGGCTAGAATAAGACAAAAGAGGGGGTCAGATCTATCTCCTGAGACTGAAGTTGTATACAGGTAGATGCTGATCTGTCATGTAGGTGCACAAGACAGGCACTCCACCAAGTTTCCCCCAGAACTGGTTTTGGGTGGGTGTGGGGGGCTGCACATACGCAGTAGACACTCGCTACAAGTCTCCCACCTTCTTCTGTGGTGTATGTTGTGCCTGTGAGTCTGCCATGTACACACTGAATAGTCCAAAGAAGGGCACCTGTGTCTGTCTTGTTCCTTTGAGGCAGGGTCTCTCATTAAACCTAGAGCTAATGTCTTTCAGATAGGCAGTCAGCAAGCCCCAATGATCCTCCCTATGGGAACAAACTCACACCCTTCATGTTTCCTAACAAACACTCTTATTAACCACTGAGCCATTTCTCTGGCCCCTTTGTTTTTTGAGACAGGGACTCGCACTGGTGCCTGGGGCTTGCATTTATCCACTAGACTGGCCAACTACTGAACTACAGGATCTGCCTCTCTCCACCTCCCCGGCACTGGGATTACAAACCTGTGCCACTACATGAAAAAAATTATTTTTTTCTTTTTTCAAGTTTTTATACTGTATTTTGCCTGTATGTGTACCATGTGTGTGTTTGGTGCCTCTGCCTAAGCATCCTAAATACTTGGACTACAGGGCTGCTACTATACCTGGCTCCAAGGTTTTTTTTGCCTTTTTTTTTTTTTTTTTTTTTTTTGCTTGTTTGTTTTCCGAGACAGGGTTTTTTCTCCGTGTAGTCCTGGCTGTCCTGGAACTCACTCTGTACACCACACTGGCCTCAAATTAACAAAGATCCACCTGACTCTGCCTCCCAAATTCGGGGATTAAAGGCATGTACCATGAACTCCTGGACAAAACTTATTTTTAAAAAGGCAATTATGGGCTGGAGAGATGGCTCTTCCAGAGGACCCAAGTTCAATTCTCAGCATCCATACAGTAGCTTTCAATTGTAACTGCAGTTGCAGCAGAGCCAATGCCCCCTCTGACCTCTGTGGATACCAGACTTGCATGTGGTGCACAAACATACACTTAGACAAACATCCATATAAAGTGAATAAAGCAAATATCAAACCAGCTGTGGTTGTGCCAGCAATAATCCTAGCACTTAGTGCACAGCTATAATCCTAGCACTGAAGTGGCTGGAGAAATAAGATCAAGAGTTAGATGTCAACCTGGATTGATTACAAAACAAGCTGGTGACTTGCCTAGGCTATACACAGTAATAAGTCTGTTTCAAAAAAACGAAACAGGGTTAGCAAAATGGCACAGGGGATAAGGGTTCTGCCACACTAAGATGACAACTAAGTTGGATCCCTGAAACCCATGGTAAAAGGAGAGAAGGTTGCCCTCTGACTTGTACACACTCTTTGACACGTATATGCACACAATCACAATGCAAGTGCACACACACACACACACACACACACACACAAAGCAAAAAACAAAAAGCCTAAAACCAGAGCAAATCCTATTCTGTTGTTTAAGGGTTGCAATGCTTTTACAGTACAAAGAGAATGGAACATGTTCCAGAAACTGAAAATGTTTGAGAGGTTTTATAAAGCTAGGGAGGACTTGAACTGGACTCTGGAGATAAGCAATGAAGGAAAAGGAACAGAATCCTAAACGGACAAAGGTCATGGGATTCAGCAAGCAAAATACATATGGAATGCTGAGCAAGCTGTTTAGTTAGTGGATGACGAATAAAACCTGAGGAGGTGGGCCGGGGCTGGCTGGGCAGCAACACTATGGATGCCATATTAGAACATCAGATCTCAACCTTTAATCCTGTTTCTTATAATCCTGCCCCTAACCCCCACCAAATCAACACAAGGCTTCTCTGTGTAGCCCTCCCTGGCTGTCTTGGAATTCAATTGAGAACCAGGTTGGCCTCCAACTCAGAAATCTGCCTGCCTCTGCCTACTGTGCTGGGTAAATTTCTGGCTAGTGTAGAATAACCACCATCTGTGTTATTAAGAACACCACTAGCTGTTCTTAATAGTTTAAAAGTGCTAAACCAGCCCATGCCTTTAATCCTAGAGGAACGTGAATCTCTGGGATTTTTTTTTTATTCTTTTTTTTTTTTGTTTTTTCGAGACAGGGTTTCTCTGTGGCTTTGGAGCCTGTCCTGGAACTAGCTCTGTAGACCAGGCTGGTCTCGAACTCACAGAGATCCGCCTGCCTCTGCCTCCCAAGTGCTGGGATTAAAGGCGTGCGCCACCATCACCTGGCCAATCTCTGGGATTTTTGAGGCCATCCTGGTCTAAATAGTGAGTTCCGGGACAGCATGGGCTATGTTAAGAGAAATCATTTCAAGAAGAAGAAGAAAAAAGAAAAGTGCAAAGCCAGGTGTACATCACTTGAAGGCCCTGCACCCTGAGGAGACAGCCTGAGATAGACAAGGAACCCAATCTCAAAACCTAGAGTGCTGAAGTTTACAAACGAACAATGCAAAGACAGAAGCCAAAGGACCCACTATCTAACAATGGTCTGAGGCAGCATTTAAAATACCCAGCACAGAAATAATGCTATTGTCGTAGGGTAACTGTTGAATCAAGCATCATACCCTATTTGTAAATAATCATGAACCAGTAAACAAAACATAAAACAAATATTAAACAAAGATAATAAAAGTTCATGTGTATTCTAATTTCCTTGGTACAGCAGTCCTAACACAGGGTTGGACCAAAGAGACTTTAATGGATTGAGCTCCCTGAGATTGTATGTAGAAGTCAATGCTGACAACTTGATTAATAGTCTTCTTCTATATCACTAAGAGATCCAATACCCAAAATGAGATAAGAATCTAACTTAGGCCAAGCTATTTTAGCAGAAACAGCAAAAATTTAACCCTGTGGTTGATTTAATTCCCATAAATAAATAAATAAATAAAAATTGATTTTATTAGCTGAGGGGGCAATTTTGAGAAGCGAATATTTTAGTATCTCCTCCTTTAATAACTACCCAAGAAACTTTATTTCACCAAAGCCAAAATTTTATGCATCATTCAAAAAGCAGCCCTGTGGAAGGGCAATGAAATAAACAATACTACTCAACCTCTCTCTTCTCACAAGCATACATCAGCAAACAGCTACAACCAGCCACCTGCCCGGCTTCATTTAGCCCTGGCTCTTCAAAGACACCTGCAGACCAGGGGGCTGGTTTCCTTCAAAATTAAACATTGCTTGGCCTCCTTAATCATCTCTTATAGGTTTCATATGGCAACACACAAGACACCTGTGTGGAGGAACTAAGGGACCCTGGGTAAAAATGTGTTTTAGGACAGCCAGGACCCTTTCTAGAGCCGCAGACTCTTCTGGGGATGGCCAGCCCCACCTCCATCCTAAGAAACAGGCCTGACAGGCTGTTTTCATCCAGCAACAACACTGTGCACGGCTTTTGTTTGGAGACAGAGTCTTGCTATGTAGCTCCGGTTGGCCTGCAACCCATTAGTAATCCTCCTGCCTCAGTCGAGTGCATACCTGGTTTCAGTTCTGTTAAAAGTTAATGGGACCATTCAAGACCATCCACAACAAAAACATTTTTAATAGTCCTAACATACTCCTACATTTCCTAACGGGCTGTAGCTTTCGGAAACAAAATTAATCAAATCATCACCATCCTTGTCCTAAAACATACATTCCAAAAAGAGTAGTGGTCAAGCACCAAAGAACTTATACAACCAAATAAAACTCAGCCATTATGGACATTAAAAAAAAAAAAAAAAAAACCCAGGTTCTTTACGAAGCAGTCAACAGTGAGTCCGGAAGAGCACGGAAGGTTCCGAGGGGTCTCCATGGAAAAAGACAGGCGGATGATCATCGCCCTACCAAAAACGCAGGGCCCTGATAACCACCCTTCCTGGCTTATAAGACATTTTAGGCCTGTTTCTTCTCATCTTAGTCTCAAGCGGCCTGAGAAAATTACTCGCCAAGAGTGTGATATCTAAGAGCGACATACGTGTATCACTGGTTTGGAGGAACGTTATGGCCGGGAGAATAAGCGGGCAGTGACCACGTCTCAGCACTCCGGGTCAGGGCACCCAGGGATTTGGACAGAAAGGCAGGTTTCCCGCTATCCCGCCGGCTGGTCCTAGGGCACAGGGCTCTCCGACCTCCACCCGGGCTGCCCTCTCAGCCTCCGTGCCAGCATCTGGGAGGCTAGGCAGAAGGCCAACCAGGACGCCAGAATGATGTCCCAGTGATGCTCGGCCTAAGTCCCGACCCTGCCCTACGCGCGCCAGCGACAACCCCGCGCCCGCCGCCACCCTAGCTGTGGGTGTCGGGCGGGTCTTTTGGCCCGACTCCTGTCACTCACCGGCCCGACCCGGGCAGCGGGCGCCCAAGGCTCCCCACGGGAGCTGGGCCCCCCGGGCCTCCAGGTTTCGGCCCGCCCCCTGGCAGGCAGCGCAGGTGGCTGAGCCCCGCAGCAGCGGCCCCGCACCGGCCGCTCGGTCCAGCTCCTGGCGCTGCCCACTGGGTACGGATCAACAACAAGATGGCGGCCAGCCGAGGGGGCGGGGGCCGGGCGTCATAGTAACCAAGGACAGCAAAGAACCCGCCCCTGACTGAGGTTCTCTCCAATCAACAGCCTCTCCTCCCGATGCCTAGAGGAGCTCTTCCCGCTAATTCGTTAACTGTCCCGTCTGTCAGAGTGTGCCTCTCGTGCAGAATGCCTGGGACACGTGACTGTGACGGCTTGAATTGACGCGTGCGCGCCGTTCTCATTTGCTGGCGGTGGAGCTTGTGTTAGTGACTGGGAAGACTACAGCGCCCTTGGTTTTCTCACCTGCGCAACCCTCTCGGTTTTGAGCTGGCAGCATTTATCATACCTCTCGCACACATTTAGGGAATGTCAACTGTACGGTATTTGCTTTGCCGCCTGCCTCTGTGGTTGGGATCTATCCCAGTTCACTGGTGAGGAAACTGAGGCGCAGAAGAGAGGCTGGGCCAAGGTCACACAGCCTTAGGAAGTGCTGGTGACGAGTCCTTCACCTCTTCTAGCTCCAGAGTTACCGAGTGTCTTCTAAGCATCTCCCAGCCACAGCCTTCTGGGCAACCTTCTCAGTTTCTGACTTCCCCTTTCCCCGGTTTATTTTGCATAGAGTTAAATATGCGCCCAGCCCAAGCCTCAGCACGTAGTGGTTACCGTTCTTTGCCCCAGAGCATCCGCTAAGTTCCTGTGACTGTATCTTTTGCTCTTGGCTATCATGACCTGTCTCCAAGGCAAACTATGAGTCCCATGAAGATGGCCATCCCTTGTTCCCCATAGTAGGCCCCTAACTCTGGACTTAGCTTCAAGGTTAGGATACCAAGGGTACCACAGCGCATGGTCCCCCAGAGTTAACGCTAAAACGTTGAGCTTTAGCTTCTCTGGAACTTGATTGCCCTGTCTATAAAGTGAGAATGAACAAGAGGAAAATTTAGTAAGCTCTTAGAATAAGCCAAGTACTCAGGAACCCCACCCCCAACCCCCCACCCCAGTAGCCACTCTCAGGCTGCTGAACCTGAAGCCTCTAACGTTCTTTTTTTGTTGTTGTTTGTTTTTTTGTTTTTGTTTGTTTGTTTGTTTTAAACTAGCTCTTGTAGACCAGGCTAGTCTCGAACTCATAGAGATCACCTGCCTCTGCCTCCCAAGTGCTGGGATTAAAGGTGTGTGCCACCGTCACCTGGCGCCTCTAACGTTCTTGCTTTGATGGAAACACCATTATGAAAAGTAAACCATGTCCAGAAAACCCGCCCACATCAGGCAGCTCACAGCAGGCTATAAATCCAGTTTCATGAGACCAAACACCCTCTTCTGGCCATCATGGACACCAGCACCCATATGACATGTATTGACACAGACACACATATAATTTTTAGAGTTTTTTGGGCAGGGCATGGTAGTACACACCACCTTCAATCTCTCAGGGGGCAGAGGCAAGCCAGTCTCTGGATTTAAGGATAGCCTGGTCTAAATAGTGAGTTCCAGGCCAGCCTAGGGCTGCCATTATGAGACCCTGTCTCTAAGACCAGACCAGAGGAGTGCTTTTTCCAGAGGGCATTCATACTCTTCCTGGCCTAGGGTACAATAACTGGCCCCAGGATGGAGATTGTCCAATTCTCAAGTAGAGTTCAGTCCCACAGTATTGACAAGAGAGGAAGAGTGAGATTACTTGAAGTAATAAAGTGTAGCCTCTACTCATACAGCAGGTACTCTTGGAGACAAACATGGTGTTAGGTTGGGCATGGGGTCAGCATTGCGCACAGTAAAATCTGTTCTGCAGGCTGCTATAAAGCCCCTGGCTATGAGCAACAACCTAGACTAGCACAGAAAGAGCTAATAAGGAAAGAGGGCAAACATGAAACCGTGGCATCACCACCGGAAAGAGGCTTTCCTCAACCCCTCCATGACCAGCTAAGCACAGATTCCCACATCCTTCCCACCCCTTTACTTTATGCAGAAATTCCAGATCCTTCCTGATAAAACCTCTACATAACATTGACAAGCTGCCCATGAGGGCTGGTGCGACTCCCAAAAACCAACAGCTGAAGAGAATCTACAGTATATTTAAAAAGTAAAGTAAAAACTAAGCATGGCGATGCTCACGTGTAATCCCAGTGCTGGGAAAGGGAAAAGAGTCTAGGTAGGACTCACTGGTCAGTCAGCCTGGCCTTGGCGAATGTTTCAGGTCAGTGAGATACCTGTCTTAAGGGGGGTGGGAGGGTGGCGATGGCGGTGATATCTTAGGCTGTCCTCTGGTTGCCATGTGCACGGACATATATGTACTAGTGTCAAGGCACCCATGTGACTATATTCCAAACACTCACAAGACTGAGTCAGGCATGCAAGGTCAAAGCCTGTTTGAACTACAAAAGTAAACCATGTCTTTAAATTTTTGCCTGGCATGGTGGTATATGCCTTTAATTTCAGCTCTTGATAGAGACAGGCAGATCTCTGTGAGCTCAAGGCCAGACTGGTCTACAAGTGAGTTTCAGGATAGCCAAGGTTATATAGGAGGACACTGTCTCCCTAGTTTGCTTGGTGGTGGTGACACTTGCTTTTAATCCAAGCACTTGGGAGGCAGAGGCAGATAGGTCTCTGAGTTTGAGGCCAGCCTGGTTTACAAAAAAGTTCCAGGACACCCAGGACTGTTACACAGAGAAATCATGTCTCAAAAAAAAAAAACCCAAAAACAAAACACCAAGTCTTGCTGGGTATGATGGTACACAACTTTAATCCCAGCACTGAGGAGGCAAAAGGTGGGACTTGTGAGTTTGAAGCCAGTCTGATCCACAGTTCCAGGCCAACCAGGGTAACACAGTGAGACCCTCTCAAAAAATAAATAAACAAAAAGCAAATCTCTGAGAAGACAACTGGAGGCCTGTCAGTCACTAACAAAGTGTCAGTCACTGTTAGAGCATCAGACAACGCTTCTTCAAAGAGAAGGAATCTTCTGTTCCATAGGGTGCCCACAAGGAGGTGGCACTTTCTCCAAGTAAGAACAAGACAACAGACCTCAGAGCTTCTCCCACACAAAGATTACAAGGTGGGTAGTGTTCTGTTTGTAATCTTTATTGCTAAATCAACTTGCAAATGCAGGCTATGATCATGTGAAAAGGGAAGTCCACAAACAGTGACACAGCTGCTTGGCCTCAGAGCCAACGCCGGGCTCCGGAGCGCATGCTGAACAGGTAATCTCTCCCTGTGCCTGAACCAAGAGGAGCAGGAGAGAGGAGGGGAGATGGGACTGCTGGCCCCTTCCCCAGGGATCCAACCTATCTATCTCCCTCCTTCCCTTCTCAACAAAGAACCCCGAGGTTCAACTCAAATGAACAGAAAGCCAGTGGATACCAGATCCCCTTCAGAAGCAATGTCAGGTGACTGTGCTACAACTATACTGGTGAAACTGGAATATCTAGGGAGCTTTCCCCTGACCACCGTCCCTCCCGCTGTGAGCTGGAACAAGACAAGGTCTGAGTTGTCACTGACCCCATCGGTGCTCGACGAAAGTTGATTGAGACTGAGGGGGTGACAGAGGGTAAGTTGGGGTAAGAGAGAAGAGCTCAGTCGGTGAAGATGTCAATGGTGGCTGCTTAGTGGCAGCAGTAAAAATGGAGATGGTTAAAGGGAAGAGAAAATTCTGGGAAAGGGAGAGGGTCCAGGGAGAGAATAGGTATAAAAAGTTGAGACTTACGGACATCGTGTGCTCTGCCATCAAAATGCTGCTGAAAAGAATAGAAGGGCACAGTGATTGAACCTTGCCCACAGGGAGCAGGAGGAAGGCCACTCACAGGCAGTAAGGTCAGGCTTCTCAGGGCTAGGGAGAACCCTAAAGCAGCCTCAGTGCCCTCGGCTTATACCAGACTCATGGGAGTTCTGGGTACCTGAGACATCTCCGTTCTTGATGCCTCCATGAGCCTCCCAGTGGAGCCTTCATTTCCCTGGATGCTAGGGCAAATCGGAGTAGAAGTACAAGGTAAGAGTCTGGGTTCCAGCCTAAGTTTGGGAGATGGGTTCCCAAGGCCTAGAGGTAAGAAAAGGAGACTGACCTGTTTAGCAGCAGAGCTCTGGCTGGTTTGTTCGGAGCCTTTAGTGACTGGGCAAACCTAAAAGGCAAACAGTGAAAGTAGCAGGCCTGCCCATTTATATTAGAAACAGCCAGTGCGCCAGGCGGCGGTGGCGCAAGCCTTTAATCCCAGCACTTGGGAGGCAGAGGTAGGCGGATCTCTGTGAGTTCGAGGCCAGCCTGGTCTACAAGAGCTAGTTCCAGGACAGGAACCAAAAAGCTACAGAGAAACCCTGTCTCGAAAATCAAAAAAAAAAAAAATAGAAAGAAAGAAAGAAAGAAAGAAAGAAAGAAAGAAGGAAGGAAGGAAGGAAGGAAGGAAGGAAGGAAGGAAAGAAAGAAAGAAAGAAAGAAAGAAAGAAAGAAAGAAAGAAAGAAAGAAAGAAGGAAAGAAGGAAGGAAGGAAGGAAGGAAGGAAAGAAAGAAAGAAAGAAAGAAAGAAAGAAAGAAAGAAAGAAAGAAAGAAACATCCAGTGCCTGCGTGAGATGCCCACACTGTTGTCTGTCCTACCCCTAGACTCAGAGGAGTCAATTCACAGAAGCAGGGCAGATATCAGGTAGAAAACAGATGTTGAGAATGGGTAAATTTCAAGCTCTGAGCTGTCTATGCCCATCTAGTTCCAAGACTGGACTCCATCAATGATGGAGACCAGACCACTTCCATTGTCTCTAAGTCTGAATACTTCTGGAGAGACCACAGCAGCCCTCCTCAATGTTTGCCCACCAATGTTGGCAGTGCCATCAAATAGTGAGTACAACCACCTATTCCGGCCAGTGTGTGTATGTGTGTGTGTGTGTGTGTGTGTGTGTGTGTAGGCTGGGAGGCAGGAAGCACAGAGATAGAAACATACCCCCGGAGGATCCTGCTGAGGAGCCAGCCCAGAGCCAGGAGGAAAACTGCACCAGTTGCTGTCAGCACTACCACAAACCAAGGCTCTGGCTTCCAGAAAGCCTCTACCTC